GAGGAAATAGAAATAGAAAGAAGAAAATTTTTTTTAAAAAAAAGAAAAGTGGGAATAGTGGGAATAAAAGAATAAAATCAAAAAAAATTTTTTTTTTAAAGGAGAGTGATGAAAAAAAAAATTTTTAAAGTGAGGTACGAAAAAAAAAATTTTTTTTAAAAGGGGGGTGATGAAAAAAGAAGAAAAATTTAGAAAAAATAACAAAAATAAGACAAGAGAAAAGAGAAGGAAGGGAAAGACAGAAAAGAAGATCGGAAGATCAAACTCATCAAAGTAAAGGTTTATATAAAAAACAAAAAACGTATCATAACAAAACAATAAACAATCATGTGATCTCGTGTTATGATACGAGATTTTTGTAAAATTATTTTCTAAAAATATTAAGTTTAAAAATTCCGTATACATTTTGTATGATTTATTTTTTCTGGATACATTAGTTTTTTTAAAAAATGTTCAAAAATGAATTGTTTATTAAATATATGGAATTTGTATATGGAAACTATAGAAACGTACATAAAATGTATACAAAATGTATCCTTTCCGTATACATATTTCTTATAGGGCATCAGTTTTTTCATAATCGAAGATTCTTAATTGGCGTATTATGAAAATTTTATCAATCTTTGATTGAATCATTTTATTTAATTTGTCATTAACGGTTTTATCTAGGGAATTGAGTCAACCAATTCAAAATTGATTATGGTCGATCAAGTCTAAAGCTCTAATCGGGTCAGTCTAATCTGACAACCCGGACCGAAAATTTGGATTGGTCCAGTCTGGGTTGATGCTTCAACCCAGACCAAAATATTTGGTCCAGTCTGGTCCAGTTTCAGATTATAAATCTAACCCGGACTGAAAAAATGGGTTGGGACTGGACCGGACTGATAAATATTTTCGCGATGGTTTATATTAAAACCATTGTATTTAATTATTAAATAAAAAAATGTTGCATAACATTTTTTTAACAAATTATTATAAAAAAAACGTTTGCACAATGTTTTTTCTAAGTATATTTATTAAAAAAAACGTTTGCGCAATGTTTTTCTAATTAATTTAAAGAAAAAACGTTTGCGCAATGTTTTTCTAATTAATTTAAAGAAAAAATGTTGCGCAAGTTTTTTCTAAGTATATTTATTAAAAAAAACGTTTGCGCAATGTTTTTCTAATTAGTTTAAAGAAAAAATGTTGCAAAACATTTTTTCTTATTATATTTAATTAGAAAAAACGTTTGCGCAATGTTTTTCTAATTAGTTTAACGAAAAAATGTTGCAAAATGTTTTTTCTTATCATATTTACACTAGTCGAAATAAGGCAAATCGGAAATAAGGCAAATCGTCCTTATTTCGGCTAAATTTCGGCTAATAATTGACGATCGTCTGTATATCAGGTGACATTCGGCATAGCAGGACCCCGGATATCTCCAAAACAGGTCATAAGTCACACTTTCGGCAGATTGGCCCATTTTTCAGGGGCTCAAAAAATCGTTTTTTGTAAATATCTCGGCATCCAGTGGTCCAATTTTGATGAACTTTTTTTAAATTGTAGAGCTAAATGAGGGCTACAAAATAAAAAAATGTTCATTAAAATTGAATTACTGGATGCTGAGATATTTACAAAAAACGATTTTTTGAGTTTCAGCAAAAAGGGGTGTTTTTGGCCAAAAGTCCATTATGACCTTTATATTAGATATCCGGGGTCCTGGCATAGCCGATTTCTGATTTCACTAGTCGAAAAAGGCCAGCCTATATTCAATTAAACATTTGACCATGATCTACGATTAGACATTGGTCGAATAGTCTAATTAAATGTCACGCGTTACGCGTATCAAAGTTTAAAAAAGGATCTTTTTTAAACTTTCCCCTTTCATCCCTTCCTTTCACTTTACTTCGTCCCTACTTTCCCCTGTCCTTTCGTCCTTCCCCTCCCTTCCCCTATTGTCCTTTCCTTTCCCTTTCGTCCTTCCCTTGCTTNTGTCCTTTCGTCCTTCCCCTCCCTTCCCCTATTGTCCTTTCCTTTCCCTTTCGTCCTTCCCTTGCTTCCCCTTTCGCTCTCCCCCTTTTCTCACACCTTTCTTCCGCCTCTTTTTCTTGGAAGTAATGTAAGTTTCGTTTCGAAACTTACATATTTTTTTTTTAATTTTTATTTTTTTTTAATTTAAGAAACGAATTTCTTTTCATTGTTTTTTTTTGTAGGACGCCAGCTTTAACATGAAACTGGACTTTAAGGTAAAAAACGGGAAAGTGAAGTTTTGTTAACACAGGTCGAATAGTGTCAAATCAGTCAACAATCAGTCACAAATCGGGTACCCGATTTGTGTATGGTTGCCAACTGATTTTCTCAACCGGGTGCCAACCGGGTGCCAGTTGGGTTTCCGATTGGTTGTCGATTTCCGCCAAAATCCGACACCAACCGGGCAGTCCTGTTGGCGCACGACTGATGACCGATTGGTATCAGATATACACCTGATTGTTGACCGATTATTGACTGGTTTATGTCTGATCGGTAACCGATTTATTTTGTTTAATCCGACGCCAACCAGGCATTTGACGGATTGGTGACGGATTGGTGACGGATTGCCGACGGATTGCCGACCGGTTGCTTTCCAATTTAGCCTGCACTGAATATTTGATTATGGCCCGCATTATACATTTTTTGTAATTATTTGAATTTATAAAATTTACCGCACAATTTATACAATTTAAAATGATCACGTTTGATTATATAAATGTATTTTATTATTAATATAAAAATATATGGGTATATTGCATTGTATACAATAATACTACTAATTTTACAAGCGAAAAATTGGTACATATTCGTTTCCGATTGCCGAAAGCAATGAAATTTGTATCATATTAATATCTTTAAAATATAAAGTCAGAAACGAAGATCGGAATGAACCTACTGTATATTGTTAAAGCTAAAATAGTGCCCAATCGGTAACGCTTTGATGTATAAAAAGATCATTTGATGCATGTACAACTCTTCCGCTATTCTCGATAATAAGTTTTGGACCACATGCCGTCTCATCCCAAACATAATCGTATGGTTGTAATTCAGGTACATTTGAAAAAAATGAAATTGACACATCATTAAAGCCTGAATAGTGTTTAAAAGTTTATCAAAATCGGTAGGTACATTTTCGTTTCCGATCGCTGGAAGCAGAAGTCGATTTGAAAAAAAGAGATTTGCATCATATTAACATCGTTAAAAAAGTTGTGCTAAAAAGAAAAATCGGTACGAACCTACATCATTAAAAGCTTAAATAGTCCTAAAAGTTAATCGAAATCGGTAGGTACATTTTCGTTTCCGATTGCTGAAAGCAGAAGTTGATTTGAAAAAAAAGAGATTTGCATCATATTCACATCTTTAAAAAAAGTTAGAAACAAAAATCGGAATGAACCTACATC